TTCCCTATTCATTTGTTATGTCTCCCAAAATGTTAATAAACATGCTTTTACTCCCGGTGTCCTCATATGAGGACATGTATGAAATCAACATCCTGTTTTGTAACAGAGTCATATTTTGATTTGAAACCCCATAACATTTTCCTGAGATGTTGATTTATGACAGACAGTTTAAAAATTAGACAGATTTAAATGATAATTACAAAATATTCTCATATTTCCATAAGAGTGTCACTAAATTAATATCAGACATTTTTGAAGACCAAGGAGAGGGTGTGGTCATAGTGAAACATCCAAACATTTAGTATCTCTGAAAAGCCCTGAATGTGCTCTGTACAGGACATCCAGACTTAAAAATGTGGCATGTATAGTCAGAGAAATACACCAAAATATAATGTCCTCATATGAGGTCACAGGGTCTCAGGAGGTTAATTGCAACAAATTGTCATAATTAGTCATCCTGGGTGTTTATCCTATCACCGCTCCTGAAGAATAACTGTTAGAAATATGTATTTAGAAAACCCAGCTGTTCTAATCCTAAGAGATATACTGTATGAAAATAATCATATTAATAGCGCTTGAAGTTAAAATAAACGTGTTCTATATGCTAAAATTCAGTGGAAATAACCGGACCTATTTTTTCTGTTGAGAGGATTTTTCCACATAGATTCCTGTAACCAATTCCAAAAGCCCATGTGCTCTGAACTCAGATGTGAACTCGCATCAGCCTTCACAAGTGTCCCTATGGGCTGACCATCACCAGTTTCTTCACAACAGTTGTTCAGCACCTCTGCTTTAGGCATTATGGGTCAACACTTGCATTGGAAAAGCAAGAAAATAAACATGATTTATTTCTTTAAACTGATTTTCATTATGTCCTAGCAATAGTGATGCCCCGCTGAGCAGTTTCTCCATGCTGCTGGAAGGAATACTGCTATTTTACAGCTTCTTCAGTGCAGTCCATCCATTCATTCATCTGTCTGTCTGTCTGTCTGTCCGTCAGTCCGTCCGTCCGTCCGTCCGTCAAGTTTGTTACAAGAAACTATAATCTTACACAATAAAACTGTCTGTGACTGCCCTCTAGTGCTCAAGTTGAGTGACATGTTTTGTGAAGGACATTTGAAAACCAAAATAACTTTTATTTTCATTTGTCATAATTCACACATTTAATTACATTTCAGCTGTTTAACTCTGCTAGCAGAGTTGCGGTTCTTTCTCATAATGCACAGCTTGATAGACATACATTATATCCAGTAAGTCAAATATAACTATTTCAGAACCACCAAAGACAGTTGTCAGATGCACCAGAGGAACAAATGAAATGTTATAAATGTAATCAGACATTTTACAATTGATTCTTGCTTATCATATTCCCAGCAAATAAAAAAAGAAAAAAATATTCCAGCAAATAATTGATCTACTTTTAAAATAGTATATACTAAAATAGCACTTCTACAAAATCATGCTCATCTCTATTCTTTACATACACTGTCCATACTTACAGCTTTGTTTGATATCTTCTCAAAACCTTAATAATTATAACCACATTCATTAAACCATAATAAAATCAACTATGCAACTTACTTTAACCATCTTCACATTCACTTTTCACTTACATCTTTTATCTAAATATCCTTTATTGATGGATCAATCAAAAACACCGTCAAAGAACACCAGGATCTACATGATGTTCATAAATTAAATTACAAAAGTAAAAGTAAGGAAGACAGAAATGACAGATTACATTGTTCCTGACTTTGCAGCAACTTGATCTGTGATGGCCCGGTTTTCACTCATCTGCCTTGCGGTGGATCCATCAGCATGAGACTGGCTCATAATGGATTGTTTCTTGGTGGACTGATTGGTGATAGACTGACTTGTGGTTGAGTGGGAAGCAACAGACTGTGACGTGATGGATTGTGTGGTCTTGGCCTGCTTGAATGCGGTGTGAATAGTCTTCTTCCTCTTGACGTGGAGTATCTCCATCGCATCAGGATTGACTCCTGGCTGCTGGAACTCCTTTGTGGTCTCCGTCTGCTCTGTAGTGGATTGCTGTTGCTCCTGGAACTCCTGCTGTCTCTGGAGCATCTGAGACAGAAGAAATGCATTATGAAGGAGAGGAAATAGAGGCAATTGGGTAATGTGGTAAAAATTTAAAAATGTCAAATATATGATAATTGCTCTGTTCCAAAACCCAGTGCACTGCATACTGAGGGAGCAGTTGAAGGCGCACTCCTGACTTGAAGGCCAAATATAAAAATTTAAAATGCATGATAATTGCTCTGTTCCAAAACCTAGTGTGCTGCATACTGAGGGAGCGTTTGAAGGTGCACTCCTGACTTGAAGGCCATAGCCAGCTTAATATGCCTTCTTTGTTTTAGCCAAATTCTAAAGCAGCACGGTATATATCCAAAAGGAAAAGGCAATCCCATAATGCACTATAATGAGCTCAGTGAAAAAATCAAAGATGATGAATGAGGTAAGAGAAATCACATTTAAAAATAAACTTTTAAAGTTGGTATGAAACTTCATCTATTTTCTAATAGTATGTTTTAAACAGGGATATTAGTATTAACTAAAACTATGAAAAACATTGATTTTAACTGAAATAAAGATTAAATAAAATATAAATATTAGATGATAAACAAAATGTTGCCTTGGCATCTAACTGAAACAAGTTTAGGGTGAAGCAGTAAAATTATCTGGAAATAAATAAAAACAAAAAATTAACTAAAACTAAAATAAAAATAAATTAAACCTAAATAGCAATGTTAAAAAAAGTAATAAAAATGACAAACACATATCACAAACATTTGACTAAAATTAAAATCAAAACTGAAAATATAAAAATATTTTTTTTCAAAATATATAAAAATTATAGATTTTTATGCTTATTAGTAAATTGTGCTGTTAGCTTAGCAACATGCTAACACCAAAGTCTATTGAAATCAGTTGCGAGTCACACCACTGGTGCTGTTTGTGTAGCTTGTGGAGTTGCTGGTTAAGTAGAGCGTTCCAAATCGCTCACTTATGAGGTTCCAACAGCAGTTAGGATGCTAAACAAGGCAGCTCACTAGGTATATTATATTTAGATATATTCAGATAATGTATAATATTGTTATGTAGAGTTGTGCCTTACCATTAGCTGTTGATACTTGGCGATAGCCTCGTCAGTGGTTACTCCTTCAGCAAGGCCCAGTTCTGCTGCACGGCGGGCCATTTCTGCCTTAAGAGAGCCCGGTGGCGTCCAGCCCACACCTTTAATCCAGTTCAAATCTGATTTGTAGTTCACCTGCAACCACAGTCAGGACCATTAAACCTTGCTACATGAGGACAACTATAAGAACAATTCCTGTGTCAAAGTAATGTAAACTGAGAAAGTTTTTTTTGCAAATATTGCCACCAAGTCACTGCAGTGTCACATTTTCACATGCAAATGGAAAATAATTTGCCACTCATTTCGTCAGACACATTAGCATGGGATGGCATCAATACAGTTTGTCATAAATCATTGAATAATCCCAAAACTCTGTTCTCACATCACTCTGCAGCTGGTAGGCTTGTTTAGCGTGTTTGACATTGAGCTGATTAGGATCACAGGTGTAGTCATGAAAATGCTGGCGATAGTTGAGGTTGCTGAGTTGAGCCTGGCTCTTCTTAGCATGCAGGAACTCAGGCTGGTCGCCATGGATCTTAAAATGAGAGCGTGTCTCCTGATACTGCTTCTTGTACTCGTTGTCACTCTGGAGCTTCCCTACAGCCAGTGAGTGTCTGATCTTGGGGTCATCCTCAACGCTAAGAAAGCCCACCTGCTGGCCTTTACCTTTGACAAATGCCTCCTTGTAGTGGAACTGAGAAGGAATGGTACAACCTATATTAAAATACAATTCTAAAACTGGGTTTTACTTAAGAAAATAGTTTACAGTTTAGCAAATAAACGTTTTGATTTTGACTTACATCACTGGCAATTTCTCTGGAGGCCTTGGCTGTCTGGAAGGGAATGGCGTCTAACCTGAGGTCGTAACCTGCAGACTTTACCTGCTCACCTGATTTTTTATACACTTTCTGCAAAATTAAAGAGAAAAAGGAACATAGACTATGTTAAAGCATGTGCACTACCATTCAAAAGTTTGGAATCTTTAATGTTATTATCAATGTTGAAAACAAGTTTTTGCTACTTAATTTTTATTTTATTTTATTTTTTTCTGAAGGATCATGTGGCACTGAAGACTGGAGTAACGCCTTCTGAAACTGCCATGAAAAAAATTAACTATATTTTAATATATTTAAAAAAGAAAAGTTATTTTAAATTGTAATAATATTTCACAATATTACTGTTTTTACTGTATTTTTCATCAAAAAAATGCAGCCTTTAACAGTGAAGCCTTTATGAAAGACTTCTTTCAAAACCATTAACAAATGATAAATCCCTTGTTGTATTCCTGAACTCTAAGTTGCTTTGGATAAAAGCGTCTTTCCAAATGAATAAATGTACATTTAAATCTTAAAGATTCCAAACTTAGCATAAGAACTGAAATACCTCTTATAAGAGTACCAATCAACAGCAGGCTTACATCGCTAATTTGCTGAG